TGCCTTAGATGAAGCTACTTGGGAATTCTTCTGCCTGAGAATAGTTGTGGGCCATATTCGAAGCTCATGTGATCTTTACCCCGTCATTGACATTCCGACGACAATCTATAAAGATAACGAAGCAGGCATCGAACAACTCAAGAAAGGTTACATCAAAGGAGACAACATCAGACACATTGCGCCGAAGTTCTTTTTCTCACATCAACAGCAAGAACATCAGAAGATTGAAGTTACGCAAATCCGTTCACAAGACAATCTGGCTGACCTTTTCACCAACTCACTACCGAAGGCAACATTTCAAAAGCTTGTTCAAGGAATAGGTATGCGTAAACTTTCTGAGCTGTAACATTGTTAGTTCTCTTTGGAATTATGTCAAACTTAGAAGGAGTATCCTGAAATATACTTGCTTGATCTTAAGTTCTCTTTTTCCTTATGAATAGGAGCATTTTTCCCTTTGGGTTTTTACCCCCTAATAAGGTTGGCGAGGTTCCCATTAAACTATGGGTTTTGTTCCTACTTGGGCTTTACCATAGCCATTGGTTTTTTTTGTGAGACTTAGTTCCTTATACAAGTTCCTACTTTACTTTGAGACTAGCGTGTTCCCATAATCAGTGTCGATGAGTCGACTTCCTCAACTCTACATGATGCTAAATCTACTTGAGTATTTACACACTCAAGGGGGAGTGTTATAAACATTGTATTTAAGTGTGATTTTATAAATCCTAGATTAGATTTGATACTAGTTATTCTTTCGATTAGGACATGTATTCCTTGGAGGAGAAGGATTCTTCCCTCCCTTATTACTATAAATAAAGGCATTGCGTAGTGGAAATAACACATCCTTTGCACAACCCTACAAACACATATCCCTCTCCTTACTCTCTCTCTCTCTCTCTCTGCCATGTGCTCTCTCTCTGCCCTATTAGATTAAAATAAACCACAACATAAAGTACTAATAGAAAAACCTAAATAAAAAGCTCACGCCTGTTAAAATTGGGTCAATGGGATGAACAGTGGAAGATTAAATCCCCACAGTAGAATAGACTGCTAGAAAATGGGGAATTAAAGCCCACTAAGTAGGAGGCTAAGTCAATGGTTGGACTGGACCATGAGGCCCAACTAAAGGCCTATAGTTATGTTTTGTTCGGTTCTTTGGAAATGGTTCATGATGGTATTACAGGATTATCTATATATGTATATACCAAAATACCCATCTATGCTTTTTTTTTTTTTTTTCCTTTTGAACAAACGATAATATCTACACTTAGAGGGTGAGGAAATAGGCTAAATCTCACAATGAACTAGCAATAATATGGTTCAAATTCGCTTAAAATATCCCTTTATACTTCAAATGTTGAAATGAAAATAACGAATTAAAAATTGTGAAAAATAAAAGATGTCCACGTAGTGCGCGGTTTTTATTGTTGATTTCTTTGAATCTTTAAAATAACTATAAAATCAATGTTTTAAATAAGTGTTACTTGGAAAATTAGCATCCAAAATTAGTAGACCATGAACATGATGCAGACATTTAACCACTAATTGAAACAATCACAAGATTAGTGCATTGTCTCTATAATAATAATATGGTTTTTTACTATTAAAGATCAATGTATATGCTTTTTCCGCGCCAACTACTTCTTTGATTATGCAGTTTTTGTCTCAATATTGAAAGAGATTCAAAAGTCGAATCTTAATGACCAGTAAATTATAATGTTAAAACATGTCACTAGGAAAGTGTGTGAAATCAACCATAAACGATTTGGTTCGCATGAAGAAAAGTTTTGTTACTTGTGTGGTAGGTAGGAATTAAAATATGAAATTTTTTTATGGTACTGTGAAGTATTTGATAATTTCAACTTTTAACCATTAGTTCTTTAGTCAAAAGCACATAAATAAATATAGGTTAATAAACTTTTGCACTCTCAAGTTTAGGTGCAATTGCAAACCCACAAATCATCTTTAAAAATTGCACTTTCATACACAAAATTACAATTTCGTTGCAATATCATACATCCGTTTCAGTTTCTATTAGTTTTTCCATTTTCTGCATGTTGGAGCAATAACAGAAAATATGAGAATAATAAAAGGATTCTAGTGGCATAAAGAAAATAACAATATCAATTGTGTGCAAGATTGATTGAAAAACAACTAGAGAAAGTAAGAAATACTGACAAACTTGGAGATTGAGGCTTGCATAAATGTAATGCCCTAAAGATAGAACTTCACCCATACTCTTGTGCTTGTAGTTCAGTAGCTAGGCGTCCGTCTCTCAAGATTGAACAATCTATAATCCGAGCTCAAAGCATTGCAATCTTCGGACTCTAGTGAACTTTGAATGTTTTGTACTCTCAAGGCACAACTTAGATATGATACGGAAAAACACAGAGTGGAGTGTGCTTGAGTTTATATAAAACTCATGGCACCCTTTGACAAATTGTGTCCATTGATTTTAAACCAGCTGATTTAAAATATAGGAGGAGAGGAGTGACTTTCGAATCGTGGTTGATGCCTCGACTTTGGAGTTGTCGATGGACTTTGATATTTCGAATTGGAGTAAACTGGGAATCTGGTAAGTGCTCGAGGGGTTGGCTTCCTTTTCTCTTTTGGATCGAACCCTAAGCCAATCCTTAATTCATATATTCATTTGCGAGAAGATGAGGATGATGAAACCTGTCTGTACAAGAGCAAGATGATGAATGATGATAATGAAACCTCATGAATCCAATCCTTAACTGCCATATTTTGTTCTTCTAATAATTGTATTTGTAATTGAATTTTCTGTTTTTTTCACATTTTTTAAGATTTAATTTGTTTTTCTTCGTATGGCGCAAATATGGCATCTACGTCAGCAAACATATGGAATTACATTTGTCATATCTTCACCCAACCGTCAATTGAAAGGATTGACTAACGGATGTATATCGTTGTAATCAAAACACAATTTTGTATAGGAGATTGTAATTTTTTTTAAAGATTTTATATGAGATTACAACCGCATTCAAATTTGAGAATGCAAACTATAGTTCACCAATAAACATCTAACGATTAAAAAGTTCATAATATCTTGTATTATGGAGTATCCTAGAATTTAAGTTCATAATATCTTGTATTATGGAGCATCCTAGAATTTTTTGAAAAAATGGAGCTTATATTGTAGGGGACACACGCTTACATGAGCACACGACTATCATGTTTGACGACGAAAATCAAATATAGACTTGTGGACTTGAGCACACGACTATCATGTGTTAGTTAAGCAAAACCTTATTATCTCACATTCTAGACATAAAATACACCTTGGCTGCTTTACTATTTAAGCTAAATTGACCAATATGGTTTAAGTCAAAGTTATGAGAGCACATAATTAATCAACATTCTATCAGATAATTTTTTAATGGCTTTTTAACCAAAATGGTCCCTGAGATTTGCATAACATATCACTTTGGTCCTTGAGATTGTTCACCATCCATTATTTTGGTCATTCCGTTAAAAACTTTGTTAAGTGTCTCAAAGCTCTTGGCTGGAAGTTTGGTCAATTTTCAAAACTTCGTAACTCAATCGTTTCTTAACCAAATTCGATCCATAGTATATCAAAATGAAGATAGAAAAGTGTAGAACAAGATTATACCTATTTGGAAGCCCAATGGTAGCCGGAGATGGCTGGAAAATAGCCTGAAAGGTGACTGGTCCTCGGGAAAACTGGGAAACTCTCCGGAAACTAAGTAAACTTTAAATGTTCATAGCTTCTTCAATACTCAACGAAATCGAGTGATTCAGAAATGACGAAATTGAGTGATTCAAAAATAAAAATCATACTTATTGACGAGTCGAAGAGAATGGTACCTTTATTGAAGGCAAACTCGTTGTGGTTTGGTCGAAAAACGGCTTGAAAGTAGCTAACTTGATCACCAAGACAGCCACTTTCGAGCTGTTTTCCGGCCAAACCACAATGATTTAACCATCTAGAAAAGTACCATTCTCTTCGTCTCTTTGAGAAGTGTGATTTTCGTTATTGAATCACTTGATTTCATTGATTATTGAAGAAGTTTTTAATGTTTAAAATTTACCCAATTTCCGGCTAGTTTTTCAGTTTTTCCGCCAACCGATCACTTTTTAGGCTACTTTCTGACCATCTCTTGCAACCATTGAGCTTCCAAATTGGTATAATCTTGTTCTACACTTTCGTATCTTCATTTTGATATATTATGACTGAAAGCGTTTTAAAAAAAAAAATTTATTTTTGGGTTCTAAAAGCATTTTAAGTGTTTTCTACCAGAAGTACCAGATATATGTTTCTTCTAGGAAGCACTTTAAGTGTTTTTTTGAGGATTTACTAACATTTTTACTAAGGATTGTTTACAAAAATATTTATACCAAAAACGTTTTCAGTCATTTTAAAAGCACATTTAAACAAGATTGTATCTATTTCTATAACTTGCGCTCAACCCACTCTGGGGTCCACACGACCTATTATTCGAGGGCCACTGTTGCTCTTTGGCCCACATATCTCCGCCTCATTCAATAGTTATAAAAGAATATCATTAGACTGTAATACTAAATTGCAGGATTATTTCCTATTAGACCTAAAACTATTGGATAATAAAAAGACCTAAAACTATTGGTTAAAAAAAAGACCTAAAGGCTAAAACTATTGCGGAGAAGATGTATCTGTTTTTGTTACTTGCTATCAACCCACTTCGAGAGATTATTAAGTGTGATTGAAATATAGAGTGGTACGTGTTACTATATAATTAGTAGGATATGTGTGTGCAAAAGTTAGTAACTTAAAAAATAAAAAAATTTATCATATAAAAACATCTGATGTAGCACTCGTGTTCCGATCATACTAGCAAATTTCTTCTATTATTCGCCGGCCACTGTTGCGTTTGGCCCACGTATCCCCGCCTCATTCAACGGTTCCAGATGAACTACCTACCTTTGGCCCACTTGTTCGGTGGCCCCCATCTTTGTGGTGGTTTCTTCTCATATGTGTCGCAAACCTTTCATAATGAAGTATTGACCAAAAGAACTCCGTGGGAGTCTTGAGATTTTGTGCGCACGATGTCGTTTCCAGGTCAACCGTTTCTTACTCCGCCGGAGAACCTCGTCCAGCCTACGAATGAGGGTCCAGCAGCCCCGCTCCGCAATCTCTCGATGGTCCGAACAAGAATGGATTCGCTGCAAAGCTTCCTCACCGAATCAATCCACGCCAACGCTCTAATCAGCAAGGACCAGATGGACATGGTCTCCGCCGGCATCGCTTCCGCCATCCACGAAATCATCTCAAACGGTGCCGCTCTGTTGGCTTTCTCTCAGAACCCGATACCCTCATCGGGCCCGACCCGAACACACTCCGCTAAAATCGAGGCTTCCGAGGTCAAGAAAGAGATGGAAGTGAACGATTGCGGAAAGGATGACGCAGACGGCGGCGAGATTGTGGAGGTGGACGCGATGGAGCTGCTGGCGGAGCACATCCATTATTGCGAGATTTGCGGGAAGGGTTTCAAGCGAGATGCGAATTTGAGAATGCACATGCGGGCCCATGGGAACCGGTTCAAGACCCCCGAGGCGTTGACCAAACCGGATAAGACCCCGGCCGAGTTGAGCAGGAATTCCCGGTTCTCGTGCCCGTACGTCGGGTGCAACCGGAACAAGGCGCACGGGAAGTTCCGGCCGTTGAAGTCGGTGATTTGCGTGAAGAATCATTTCAAGAGAAGCCACTGCCCAAAAATGTACTCGTGCAACCGGTGCAACAAGAGGAGCTTCTCGGTGGTGGCGGATTTGAAGAGCCACTTGAAGCACTGCGGCGAGGCTAGGTGGCGGTGCACGTGCGGCACGAACTTCTCGAGGAAGAGCAAGCTGTTCGGGCACATGGCGCTGTTCGAAGGGCACATGCCGGCGGTAGAGGACGAGAAGAGTAGTGGTGGGAGTAAGGTTGTGACAGCAATGGAGCAGGATGAGGAGGAGGAGGAGGAGGAGGAGGACATGACGACGTCGGCGAAGGGAATTCCGAATATATACGAGGATATTGAGTTTTCTGATGAGTTGCTTGATGGGTTTGGGTCGATTGATGACTATTTTTGGAAGGATATGTTGACTGATTTGTAAGAGTGATAGCGATGATAACGTAAATTACAGCTTTTGGTTTAATTGATTTGTTGTTTTAATGCTTTAGATTATTGAGTTATGTGTATATGGATGTAATAATTTTTCCGATGAGAGATTTCACGTTTCTCTGTTGGCTTGAATTTCTAATAATTTGAAGAAATGCCCATTTCTTGCTTATGTTTGCAAGGCTAATTTGTATGTGGTGTCAAAAGATATGTCTAATTTGTATTTGACGGCTGAAATAAATAAGTTGCTTTAGAAGTTGGGAAAAATATCTACAAAATCAAAATGAACCATTTGACACTAGCAGCTGAACAGTTCAGTTGGTCCATACTTTAGATTTGTTGTTTTTTTTAGGCTTGCGTCCTTTTTGCCTTTTTTGGTCAAAAGGCTTGGGTCCTTTATCAAATGGGGTTTTTTCTATGACAAATTCATTTTAGTTTAATGACAGTTCATCAAAATAATTGTCCAAGATAACTTACTAGATCGAGCATGCAACGCCCACATTCTTAAGTTCAAGAGCAGATTGTCATTTAGTACTACGGTCTAGTGGTAAAAAGGAAGTGCATGACTCACTAAAGCCTAAGACTACAGTGGAAACTATATGAAGTAATTCTTTCATTCCATTTACAGTGGAATCGTATTGGAAATAAAGAAAACTAATGAAAATGGTTTGAAAATTTTGAGTTTTAACGATAATGACAAAATAAATAGTAAAGTGAATAGTACCATGATTGACTTTTTAGCGTAAAAATGTGGTTTTTCGTTAAACTGAACAGTACCGAGAGCTTTTCGTTAAAGTTCCCTTGGAAATAAGCATTCCAATACCAATTTAAAAAGTTTCATAATCAAATTTTAGTTCTGATTTTGGAATTTTCTTGTAATCAGAATTTTTGGAATCGATAGTATTTGTGTCGGATCGTATGGAAATAAGCATTCCATTGTCAATTCAAAAGGTTTGGAATTAAAATTTTCGGAACATAATTCGGATCTTCTACATTTTGCATTGTTTTACAAATTTTCAATCTTTTATTTATCTACCATTCAATTTTTTTTTTTTTCTCTTTTGAATTTTTGTGATATTTGTAGGCTATTACAAGTATGTATGACATAAAATCATACTAGACAAGATAAACTGCATGTGGTCCAATATCCTAGTAGATAGGGTGTTGGCTTTCTATCCATACTTACAAGGTTCGAAACTGACACACCCCGATCCAAAAATTGGGGCGTGCTAACCGTCACGTGAAGGTGACATAGCCAAGTGCGCAATGCGGAAGTAAAAGAGTGAAAATACGAGGAAATAAAGTCAACAATATAATTTACAATAAAAAGATCAATGAGTGATAGCGACAAACATGGAAGGAGAAATGCAAAGTAAAAGTTCAAGTATCCTAGGTGCAGTCCAGAATAAACAATACTACACAAGCGTTAACTAGAAAGTCCTACATGGAGGGTGTTCTATCAGAAATGCCTCGATGCCTCTTTCGTCACCCAGGTCCTCGCTACCTAAAACCTGAAGGGGCGCAATACAGAAAACGTGAGTGGGCAAAACAAAGTTTGTTTTTCAAACCATTTCAATATCAAGTAATAACCCCTCTCTGTAAAACCCGTATACTTTCTAGAAAATATTATACGTACTCGTATATCAAATCATGCTAAAACAATAAAACTCAAATATGTCAAGCCAGAATATGCCGTGTCAGAATATCCAAACAAATAGTATAAGCATCAAGCAGGTGATATAAAACAATCGTAATATGCCAGTAATATCAGTACATCAGCCGGAGTCACCTAAAGTGACCTATACGACTGAATCTATAGCTCTTCAACCACTACCCTACACACGAGTCGGAACTACCTAAAGTGGTTTGTACGACAGACTGGTGTATCTAATTACGCTCAATGTTACGATCATGTGAAGGTTGTGCGATGTATCGCAAGTCACCTACAAGTCAAAACCACCTAAAGTGGTATGTACAACAGGCTAGCACCTGCCTTGGATCCAAGGTAAACGTACGGTACGGGAGATGAACGATCACGTGAAGGTTAGGCCTTACTCTGGCGGAGCACAATCACTAAGGTGTAGGAATATAAGTTATAACTCAATCTCATCAACACCACATCTATCACTAACAACATACTCACCTGACTTACATGAGCATCCGCAGCACCAAAGCATAACCAACACAATCACAATAATAATATCGACGATATTCGACATGACATTTCAATTATAAAACCATTAAAACGTAATTTCTGGAAAGATACCAATTAATATATATATACTAAAAACAAAAGCCCACTCACTGATACGTAGAAGGATCGTAAGCCCCGAGCCTCGCGTGGCTGTGCTTGTCTTCCGGATAGTCCTCACCTATATGCAAAACAACTATAAAACTATCAAATTAACGCACATAACCAACCTTAGGTAATAACTTCTCATACATTGTTCAAATGGGGTGTTTGAATATATCAATGTGCTCTACTCAATCCCACGAATACCCCCATATTTTTAAAATAATTTTCCGACCTCTCACGCGTCGGCCAAGGCATGGCCAGACGCGCTGGCCACGCGCAGGCACATGTCTGGCACGTGCGTGTGGAGACCCTAATGCCATTAGGGAATATTCCGTGAAATATTTCGTTAAAACCCTAACAGAAGTTAACGGTCATTACCTGACGCCGTTAGAATATTCCATTAACTCTGACGAAATATTCGTCTCCTTCTCCAGTGAGCCTCGTCGGTCACCGCAATCCACCACCATCAGCGTCACCGTCTGCAACTCGAAATTTCACCGATTTCTAGAAAAACTTCAAACCTTAATATCTTTTTCATTTCTCAACCAAATTCCATGAAATTTGTACCAAAATGAAGCTTACAACGAGTAGAACAAAACCTTACCACTTTTGGAACTTAAATCCAACGGAATCTCGCCAGAGAAATTCCACAAAATCCGGCCAACCTTAGAACTCGCTATCCTGACGTCCAAAACACTTCAAAATTACTCCCCAAGCTTCGTGAAGACGTCCTAAAGCTTCCTACAACCTCAAAACTTGATGAAACGTTCGCGATCACGAGTGCATGAACAGTGCACCCAAACTGGGTTCCATGGTTCTCAGGATTTTGAAGGTTTCAAGTCCAACCAACACCACCAAATGACTCCTGAGCTCGAAAGGAGTCCAAAAACACCAACAATAAACACGATCCGTGCCAAAAATGGTTGGATGGAGGTTGTCTGTATACTTGCAAAGGAAATGGAAGAAAATGGAAGAAAGTCAGAGAGAGAAGGGAGAGAGAAAGGTCCACGGGTGTATGTGTGTGTGTGTGGTCCAAATGGCAGCCCACCAACCAAAACAAAACAAACAACACTTTACAACGCCAATTAAGATCTAGGGGTAAAATCGTCATTTCACATCTACGATACAAATGATTCGGGACGGGCTGTCACAAAAACGCCCCTCCCCTAAATTATTGTAATAGGATGATTAAATATACAAATTTAGAAAAGGAAAAAAAAAATCTAAACCTAACAACAAATATTATAAAATAAGAATGCATGAATTTTTTTATAGTACTAAGTTTGAGAAATTTCGGATCTAAAAGTAAGAATTTTGAATTAGATATTTATATGCCAATTGTCATCCAAAATTTTGGAATTTAAAATGTTTGGATTCATAACGGAAATTTTCAATTTGGATTGCAATGTCATCCAACTTGCACCCCTAATCCATATTGAATGAGCTTAATTTCATGTTCATATAAAACCAATGTCAAACCCTACGAATAATTATGACTAATGCAACTCCAATTGAGCTCAGTGGTCCTTGAAATTAATCTAAGTTCTCATTTGGTCTTTGAGATTGAAAATTGATCAATGCCGTCCTTGAATTTAATTGTCCCAAATTAACGTGGTCCATATGTTAGAATTCCGTCAAGAAATATGTTAGTCCGCTAGGGTGGCACGCAGGTGGGATCCATTGCTTGACTAAACATATTGCCAATGTATCAATATTCTAAAAAGCAGCTTAGGCAGCAACTAGGCGTTACACGGTGAATTGCCGTCATGACTAATTCTTAATTCTTAATTGGTCGGAAAATCAGGAAGCTTGTTAGGCTACTTCTTGGACGGAGTTATGCGGGAATAGACGGGACTAGCCGAGGCTAGGTGAGGGTTTGTAAGAAGCTATGCTTGAATCTGGAATTTTTCAGATGCAGACCGACGACTCATCGAAGAAGAAGATGGCCTGTATACACGGTATCGTTTTGCCAAAAAATGTCAGTTGCTCCTTGAGTTTTTTATTCAATCTTCTCATTTTAAGGACTCTCGATCTAGTTTGACCAAAACAAAAGAGCCCACCATCTAGTTTGACCAGAACAAAAGAACCCCCCCCCCCCCCCCCCCCCCCCGCCCGGCGCCACGCCCACCACACAAAAAGCTTCTTCTTTCTTTCTAACTTTTCGTTTCATTTTTTTTAATGATTAACTTTTTATTTTTATTGTTATTTTTTCTCTTTTAAGACCCAACTGTCTCCCACCAATAATATCTATATTTTTTTTATTTTGTTTTGGTTATCTCTATAGTACATAGCACACTTTAAGAAATGAGAAAGAAAAACTTGGTTACGGGAACCACAGGCTAGGCCGACTACATATTTTAGTGTAGTTACTCTTAAAAAAATTTATTCCTACCACCTTTTCTTCCCCTTTCTCTCAATTTTGCCAATTCTCATAATACTTATGTTGATGCACAAAATCAGCAAGACTTTGAAACAACGTAAAGTGTCAAGTTTGTGACTTTCGCTCGATTGCTCCAATCACCTAGTGTGGATAATATGTAAAGAGATAGAGATAGGGAAGCAAACACAAGATGTACGTGATTCATCCTAAGTTTGTTTTGACGTTGACACGTTTCATTCTATGATTGGTCTCCTGGTTAGAGGGAAACGCTTGTGCTTCCCCAGGGGTGCCTCAACATGAACCCCTCAATGGGTCCTTGAAGGTATAAAGTTGACTGATGCTTGGCAGTTTCAGGATTGGTCAAGTATGGTACAAACAGTGTTCCCCCAAGTTCTCGAGTGAGGAAAGTTTCTCGATTAGGGACTTGTAAAAATCCAAGTCACTGAGTAATCATGAAACTTCTGAGTACCGAAGTGTAGCTGCACATAGTAGGAGTCCCCT